CTCTGATCTGTGGACAGGACAAGGGGCTGTGTCTCTCGTGAGGCAAATGAGTCTCCTCAGACTTGTTCCTCCCTACAGCTGGAGTAAGGGCATGTGGTTAACCAAGCACTACTGAAGGGTGGCGGAGCAGCGGCACAACCTGACATCAGCCCTGAGGCTTAATCCACCCAGAGGAGACACTGGAGATAAATTTGTGGCAACAGCATAGAGAATTAACCAGTGAAAAAAGACAGTTCTTGACTTAGGGAAGCAAACGGTTCCAAGAAGGAAATGCAATCCTGGGTCACTACTGATCGGTTTGAATCTCATGAACACCTGGGCCAGGAGCACAGCTGACAAACAGCAGAGAGGGACCCGCTGCAGGGACCCCTGGTAAGCGGTGAGGTCCGAGGGGCCCAGAGCTGAGGAAGGTGGGACCACAACCCACAGCCACACGCAAGGGCCTCCTCAGGCTGCCTCGAAGGTCCGGCCCTGTGAGTAGTGGGTGTTACGGATTAGACCTGGGTGTCGCCTGGAGGTTCCTTTGTTTTCAGGTGGGGCCTTTGGAAGGGGATGGATCCTGGGGTTGGATTAACCCACTGCCATGATCACAGCTGAGAAATGGGGGCTGAGGAGAGGCGGTCATGGACCAAGCCTCACCCACCATGCCCACCTCTCTTGCCCCCGGCTGCCATGCTGCGAGCAGCTGTCCTGCACCACAGGGTTCCTGCCTTGCAGCCATGGACCATGGACTAAACCACAGAAACCATGAGCCAGACAACGCTCTCTCCTCTACGCTGCAGCAGTCAGCTTCTTTGTCCTAGGGCAAGACGTCCCTGCAAGTGGCTGACAAGGAGTGTCCACCTGCCCCATTTGTGCTCGCAGCCCTGCTGACCCGGGATATGGGAACAACTGTGACACAAAACAGATGAAGAGGAGGGTCAGGCCTCGGGGACCGGGTTTCCTCACTCAGCAGTGCAGCCGGTGGCCCGTGTGTGTTAGTAGCTTTTCTCCACATAGAGACGGGCATGGAAGGGCTCAGCCTGGGCCCCACCATGCAAGGGGCCTCACCTCTCCAACATCTGCAAAGCCAACTGCCCGCACAGCTGGCCTCAGAGAGCTCCTCGCATGGGTGCACAGGGACCCTGGAGAACCGGCTGAGCCTGCAGGGACAGGCTAAGAGCCTCTGTGGGCCGGGCAGGGTGGGCTCGGGGTTGGAGTGAGCAGGAGACCAGGGCCCTGGCCAGGCAGGCTCCACACGCTCACACCGCCCCCATACAGGCTCTCAGCATTTGCCCCGACGCTCTCCACCCGGCTCAGCCTCCCCAGTGCTGGGCAAAGCCTCTCCTGCCTGCAGTCCTGGGCTGAGAGGTGGACAGCAGGTGGCCCTGGAGGTCCTTCTTCTGGCCACACCATGTTCCTCCCTGCCACCCTCCAGAGCCTTCGGGCACCAGATGAGGTTGGATGCTCTGCTGTCTGGGCTCCCTCTGGCTTCCTCTGAGACCCAATGGCACCCTGGAGGGAAGGGCGTTTCCTGTGCCCCGCCTCCCCCTCCCGCAACACTGGAGAGGATGGTGCATTGGCAGCTGTGCCCACAGTGGGGCGACAGCAGCTCCCCGCCGCCCTCTCCAGCCGCCCCAGCCCTTGCTGCGCGAAGTCCCCTTTCCCCAGGAAGGTTCAAGACATGGAAGCCAGCTCTCCGCCCCCCGAGTCCAGCTCACACACTCAGAGTTGCCCTGGCCATGTCCTCAGATGCTCTTTTCTGTGCAGTCTGTTTCAGTTCCCCTTGGGGGGGCTGAATGGTGGCCCCCAAATTCACATGTGGAAGCCCTAAGTCCTCCACTGAGACCGTCCTGCAGACAGGGCTCTTTCAGAGGTGCTCAGTCAGGCAAGGCTCTGCTGTCCCCATGGAGGGGGATTCGCAAGCGGGCCGTGACGCGGACAGGGCAGAGGTGCGTGAGGATGAGTGTACTGCAATGCCAGACACCAGCACCCAGCAGTTGGGACGAGGCCAGGCAGCACCTCCATCATCAGAGGAAGCAGTCCTGCCATGCCTGAATCTGACCTCAGCCCGCAGCATCTCCTTGCAAAGTCCCTGGTGCTCCTGCTTCTTCAGGCTGCACTGGGACAGCCAGATCACACAAAGCACATGAGTGACCGAGGGTCAGTTTCAGAGCCTGCAGCCACAGTGCCATGGACCCCAAGAGACCTCTGCCTTGTAACTGCCCAGAGCCCCTCGTGGCTTTTCATGTTTGCTTTCTGTGTTTTCCTTGAACTGCTCTAAAGACAGGGTTCTGCACAGACGTGCCCAGTGCTGCTGACCCTTTCCTGAGGCTTGGGAGAGCTCCGTCTGCCCCCCACGGCCCTGCCCTACACCAGCCCAGGCAGGCGCCCTCCCTCCCTCTCAGATGCCTTCCCAGGCTGCAGGAAGGGGTACCAGGCAAGAAGCAGGCAGCGCACTGCATCCAGAGCTCTGCTTCTGCTCTCATCGGGGGTGCAGTAGGACTACAACAAAGCTCATGAGGCATTTAGGGCCAAGATCCAGGCAGGCAAAGGTCTCTGTTTAATCGACTCATAACCAGCCACCTCGGCACTACCTTCACTCACCCAGAAAGCAACCGACCCACGCTGCTGTCCCCTGTGGCCAGGCTGCCGGCCCAGCCCCCTGGCTGTTCCACTCAGAGGACAGCGCAGCCCTGATCCTTGGGGCACAGAAGCGCAGCCCTCAGGCCAATGTCCAGCCCCTGCCCTGGGTGCAGGTGACCAGATGTGACCACACCGTGTCACCAGGCGCTGCACTAGTCACCTGTGCACTGTTTGTAGCACGTCAGCAGCAAGACCCCCTTCACGGCGACCTTTCCTCTCCTTCCCTGCTGGCCTGCCTGTGTGGCTCACAGCCCCTGCAAGATGCTCTGCCTTGGTCTCCCTCACAACCGTCGCCACGGTTACTGGGGCTCTCCCGATGGAGCCGCTGCTCCCTAACCCCACTGGTGGGGCTCCCTCCGCCTCCCGGATGCCCATGGTGGTGCTGAGAGAGGCCCTGGTTCACTGCAGATTGTGGCCGTCCGTCACCTGAAGTCTGAACCTCCTTTGATTCGGGGCAGCTGTAGAACATGGCTGTCTCCACCCCAAGCCTTGTCCCCCCAACAGTGTCAGGAGATCGGAAATGGGCATGATTAGGAATCAGAAACGGAACCCGCGTCCCCAAAATCAGGCCTCAGGGTGCTGTCCTTTCCTCCCTGGCCTGGGGAGCACCCATCTGCCCCCTACCCCAGTGAAGGGGCATCATCTGCTCTGCTGTGGGGAGCGCAGTCCTCTTCCCGCTGTGGTTCATTCCGCCTGGAAGAGCAGCACTGGGGGTTGGGGGCAAGAGAAGCCACAGGGTGCCCAGCACACTGACACTGTTCAGTGCACCCTCGCAGGCAGGGGCTGCAGGCTAACGCGGAACCCCACTCCGCAGGCCTCTCCACACCGCCAGCTGCCGGAGAAGTCAGCTCAGAAGGCGCAGAGCCATGGACGTCCTGGCTCTGGTGTGCGGGGCAGCAAGGCGAGGAGGTCCCCGTGCCGTTCGGGTCCTGGAAGCAGGTGTAGACCGCGCGGCTGCCGAGCCAGACCAGGAAACCGCCTTCCCTCGCTAGCGAGACCGAGCCCAGGTTCCGACGGGTATGCGCTCTGAGGCGCGGGTCTCCAGGCACCAACGGACCTGGTCTGCAGCCCGCACAGCGAGGGATCAGACAGAGCTCCAGCGGAGTCCTGGGCAGGCAGGCGGGGAGCGGGGAGTGGGCCAGGGACGCGCGCAGGGGTCACCCCCACCAGATCCGCGCCACGCGCACAGCAGAACCCCTGGGGGTCGGGTGCGGAGTCGGGGAGATGGGG